GTTGTTATTTTCCTTAGCTATGCTGGAAACCTTTCAACGTTTTCCTGAGTACTGTCTTACCAACGAATTTCTTCTGTTGTTTTGGGGGCCACATTCCTATCAAAATTTCTTAACCTTCTGATAGAATAACGAAATCGAGGAACAGAAGCCGGTTAAACGCAACTTTTGGGCAAACATCATCATATCAGCTCTCCTTTCAAATTAGTGCAATACTGGCCCTTTCTTTGGAAAAAGCAAGTAAAGTTTGCGAAATGTTTACGACGGCGATGCGTGCGTGTCCCGGGGTGCTCGTTGCAAATTCAATACTCTACAGCACTTAAAAAATTGGCCTGGCACGTTATGTTAGCTTTTTCTTACCCGGATATGCTCTCCGATATAACGCCGTTCCTGATTACATTTTTACACTAGCACTCCACTATATGTCACCAACTGACCGCCATTTTGCATATCCTCTGCGACGCAATTTTCCCTTTCGTAAACGACCGTTGCCATTTTGAAACGGTCGTTGCCATTTCCGAGAACAGTCGTTTCCATTCATTACAAAATGGCAACGACTGTTTTGACAAATGACAACGACCGTTTCAAAATGGCAAAATTGACCTTTTCAAATGGCAACGACCGTTTACGAAAGGAAATACGCCTTTGCGACCACGCAATACATTAGCCCCTCCTTTCCCCTCCCCCTTAACCTACCGGTATAGTTGAATGCAGTGATATTTGCAGTGTTTCGTTCCCTCGGACGTTGAAAATCGTGTTAGCGACCTCTTAGTATACCCTTTTGTACGCCAGCATATTCGTTCGACTCTTACTGATTTTATTTTTATGTTCTTAAAAATCTGCCTACCGGTAGGCCATACGTTAGGCCATAGGGTAGGCCACAGGGTAGGCCATCGCCTAGGCCACGTTTTATCCACTCCTTCTGACTGAAGTTTATTTGCTCTCAGTAGTAAAACTAGGATACATAGGGTCCACTCTGCAGCAGCAACTGACTCTGATATGTTCATTGTCAAGATTTAGAAACTTACCTCACAGATACGCACGCTGAATCAGCACCTTGGGAGTACTGAAGATAAGTGCAATCATTGGTGTCGACCAGGATACACCACTGTCTCTCCCACTTTTCAAATATTGGAGAGTGCATTACTGCATTCAGCTTTGCTGCGGGTAATGTCCAGGTGAATACAGTAACCATTCCATTTGGTGTTGGTTTTATGTTTTGTGGTATCTGAGAAAAGAAAATAGTATACATACTTTTGAGATAAAACATATGAAAAACATCTCATGTAAAGTAATGTGCCTAGCGAGTTTCGTAAGGATTTTCGTATGTTCCTAGGCACTCACTATTTTTACGAGCTCCGTAGACTTAAAGCGAGGAAAGTCTAGAGCGATGAGCAAAATTTACCACATGTTACACCATGGAATAAGGGATTAATTATTCTATCATTATTTCAAACCAGTACTTTGGCTATTAGTTTTCGTAATAAAACCCTAAGTTTTATTACGATGCGAGTTTGAGCAGAGCTCTTCCTCAAACCGAGGCGGTTTGAGCAGAACGCCGTCACAGGCTGACGGCACATCTCGCATGTGCTGGATTGCCCTTGGCTTGTTTTCTTAAACATATCCACGCAGAAACCACAAAAGGAATGGCCACACGGTGTTGCTAGTTCTGCGTCTAGAATGGGATTCTTGCTGTAAAAGAGAAGGCGAAGTAAGGTCAGGAAAATAGCTCCAGGCTGGCTTGTTATTCCGAGAATGGCTTGAACTGTATTATCCATTCAAGTCACAAGTTAAATATTTATAGCAAATGGTAATAGCTTCAACTTACCAAACATTCCACAGGTATTCAGCTGGGATAGAATCGCTGAATGCGATGTGGTCAAAAATCGAACGAGAGTGACTCATGTTTGGTCACTTTAAAATGGCTTGTCGTCTCTCTTTGCTCGGAGGCTCTCTCTCTTTCTCTCTCTCTAGCTTTTGTTAGGACTGTGAAGGAATAAACCACCTATGTGGTAGAATATCAAAATTCACAGGAAACAACTTCCCTTCAACAACGAATAGGAAAGTAAACCACAGTCACTCTCGACAAGCGCTCGCGCACTTTGATAACAGGTATATTAAAGTTGTATTTCCACACCTTATTCAATGACAAAAAGTGTTCATGGGACAAATATTATTTTAAGAGATACTTCCTGGTACTGCACTTATAAATGGGAAGATTTAATTTTGTTTAGATAAACATTTTCCACAGGCTGAGATCTCCAGTGTCTGCATATTTTCACCATTTAAGTTGTTTTAAAAAATCATGTCGAATAAGTCATTCAAGAATACGTATTGCACGTCTGCAGATTTCGAGTTATACCTTGCTTAATTTTGGAATGACATTAATTCTTGAGTTAATGTCGATTTCATTACGACAATACTACTTTTCAGGTTTGACAAGTGCTTCGCTTCGTTGTATAAAGTTCTGTTTCTACTCAAATCAAAATTGCTTATCTAAAATTGTGATAACCGCTGACAGTATTTGCGGTTAGGTGGGGCTGGATTAACAGGAAAGGGGGGGTGGGGTTATTGTTTAAATAAGTTGTGAGAACCAATATTAATGGTCAGAAAAGAACGAATGGATAAAATCAACTTTTAACTAAGGGAGTGCGAACCTTTATTGTTTGGATGAGCAAACCTGTCGAAATCAGTTTCGCTTTGAATAAACGATTCCTTTCTCTAGAACCTTTACAGTGTATAAAAGTAGAAATTATTTGGGCCACCATTACCTATCGACGAAAAGGACTGTTCATTTCATTTGATGGGCATAGTTGTTCGCATCTTGTTGATACTGAAATCAAAATTATGTAAAAACCGCCAACAGTATTTCCTTTGTGTGGGTGGAGTCACAGAAAATAGGCTATTGTTTAAATAAGTTGTGAAAACCTATCTATTATCACAAAAGAAATGAATGGATGAAATAAACCATTAATTAAGCAAGTGCGAGCCTTTCAGAGTTTCATTGAGCTAACCCATCCGTTTTGCTTTCAACGAATGATTCCTTACTTTGTGTCACATTGGCAATAATCATCACCTTCTGGCTATGTCAGTTTATTAAGTCGCGAGACTCACTTTATTTCAACTATTCATTTAGAGGCGATGTGCGAGAAAAAAAAAGCGAAAAATTAAGCCGAAAGTGTCGGTACGGAAATTGTTCACAATTCCAAGATTGCTTAGCCTCGCTGAGTAAAAGATATAAAGGAAATTGCCCCTTGCTGTGTTGCAAGTTTAGGAAAAGCGATGCTGTTTCCGCCTTGTTTTGGCCTTATCAAAGCCCGAACACTTCGTTTTGGGGTGAATAAAACAAACACTTTTCAAGAGGCATACTGGAGTTTTCATGGAGTTGCTA